ACATTCTGTTTTATTTACTTTAAAGAAGTGAGGAGTAGGGAGATGAAAAATTAAGTTTTTTTGATACTGAGACTGGACGAGTAGCTCTCGGCAAACTGCCGACTTCAAAAGTAGCTCTTGTTTCAAAAAAGCTTGGGCACCCCTGGTTTAGAAGAACTCAAACAGTGAATCTCACAGACTCGCAGCCTGCATGCACAGCTACGTGCTCCCGTCTCTCAGGAGAAGAGAGTTTAGTCACTCACACAAAGTTGGACAGATCTGTTCGATAACAACGCTCTGAACATAAATTTAATATAAAGTTAGGTTTTAGAGACCAAAGTCTTTGGTAGCTCAGGAGCAAAGTGCAGGAGGAAATGTCAAGACAGATGCTACTTGGCCACTGCTTCAACCTGTAGTTTGTCTCTGCTGAAAGCTGGTCTCCCTGAAAGTCCCACCCTGTTCTGCTCTGATTGACTAAAATGGCTCTGGGTCCCGCTGCCCTACTTGCACTGAATGACAATCCAGTCACACCAGTGCAGCTGGATTTATTTATTTGTATTTATTAATATTTTTTAAGAAATCAGGTCGCATTTGCAACCACACTGGTTGCACTCTAGAACCCTGCTAGCTGTTGTTTTAAATCTCAGGTACAATCTTAGGTACGCAAGTGAGCTTGATGACATTCCATCTGTTGCGCTTTCTCTTTTTTGATCATGCATGCGCACCTGCGCACCGCTTATGTAAATGGTAAATGGACTGGACTTATATAGCACCTTTCTACCCAACCAGGATACTCAAAGCGCTTCACACTACAATCTGTGCTCTCATGTACCCTTTCACACAGCACTCTACTAGATCTCCTACAAAGCTAACATGTACAATTATCTATGGAGACTAATCAGTGTCAATCACATTCATACACTGATGGGACACACATCAGAGGCATTGGGGGTGAAGTGTCTGGATGGAGGATCGAACCGGCAAACGTCTGGTTACAGGACAACTCCCCTAACCACTCTGCCACAGCCCACCCCACTACCAGGTCCATGTGCAGCCCTGTCAATAAATCTACTTTGACAGGCTTGACATGGTAACAATAATTTCAACAAATGTTTTAACTGCAATCTCTCTCTTCTGTCTGCATCTGTTCCAGCTTGAGGCATTGAAGCAGCAAAACTCCAAATACCAGGAGGAGCTCAGCGTTTCAAAGAAGCAGAGCTGCTCTGAAAACCAGTGTATTGGGGTCCTCTGCAAGGAAATGTAAGTGCTCAGTGTTTCCTGCCCCATGTTTGCTGTAAAGGTGACCTTGGGCTACCTATTCATTAGACTGGTGATGGTGACTATAAACAAGGGATTAAAAGTTCTATCCAGAGATGGGTGCAAGTCTTTTTTTGCAAGTCCAAATCAAGTCCAAYTCTTTTACCAAAAATCCAAGTCAAGTCTCAAGTCTCTTGACCTCAAGTCCAAGTCTCGTTGCATGTATCACTTAACTGGCAGTTTGATCAAAAGTATTTTAACTATTCTAGTTTATATTCTATAATAATCGTTAGTTGCAGCCCTAAAATATAGTATTATAGAATATAGTATTAAAGTATAATATTCTATAATACTATATTTTAGGGCTGTAACTAACGATTATTTTAATAATCGATTAATCTGTCGATAATTTTTTCGATTAATCGATTAATCAACCAAATCATTAAAACGCTTAATTACATAAATATGAGTAGATATTAGGGCTGCAACAATTAATCAATTAATCGACAACTAACCGATTATTAAAATAATCGATGACTAATTTAATAATCGATTAATCGTTTTCGTTTTTTTTATATTGTTCTTTACTTTGTTTTTTTTCTCCAAACTGCTTTGACACCTTCCACTGCCACATCTGCCTTTCTGTCCTTG